TATATACCTATTTAAATTACTACAAACTAAAAACAAATACAATGTTTTAAAATAAAAATACAAATGATGATTAAAAGAAAAACAATTGACAAACAAAAATTAATAGGAATACAATTGTGGTATGAATACAATTTTGTAACCTTCTTTTTTGACTTTGTCTTTCTTCTTCTTCTTCATCTTCTATGTTCTTTTTTCCGATTTTTTTCCATTAAAATCGAATCTGAATCCGTATTCACTTGTGCATTAGTAACCCTATAAGCAAAATTCGAAATTATTAAATATGAATGTTTAAAAAAATCAAACAATATATGATGTATGTGTGCTAATGTAGTTACTACAATCTACTAAATCTCAAATATGAAAACAAAATTTTTGATAATTTGAATTTCGAAATTATCAAAAATTAGAATGTATTAAATATCAAACAAAATAAACATACATATGAATTTCTAGATTCTCCAAAATCTGAAAAATTAAAAGAAAATCACAAAAAAATTGAAAAAATGGAAAATCATAACCATTTGATGAATAAAAATCTGCTTGAATTAATAAATAGATTTCATTTAACAATAAAGAAGATTTCTTGATGAACAACAATTTAGCACCTTGAAGAAAGATAAACTTGAAACGTGAAAGGTGGGGAAGAAACGTGAATGGAGTTGAAAAAAGGTTAATGTGTATTGGTTTAATTTTTTTTTCTTTAAACGGTTATTGGTATATAATTTGGTCCAATATAGGACTCTTTCCATAAATAAAATTAATTTTAAATACTAAAATCTGAATACATATTATTTTATAAAAATATTGTCATTCTGCCATTTTAAATAAATATTTTAAAGTGTTGTTATTTTGACTAATTATGTTAGGTATTATGACTTAATTGCTAATTTTCCCTAAGAAAAAAATGAGTATATCATTTTGGGTTGAACTCTCATAAATAATTTAATAAATTAAATATTAAATAGTATATCATCATATTAGTACATGAATCAACCAACCATAAAGTCTCTTAAATATGTATTCTTTGTATCCAATTTCAATTTCATGTTGAAGTAAATTCATGATTTTTTTTTGTTCATCTTCCAATTGGAAATACTAATGGTTATGTTTGCCTTTACAAAAATAAATAAATCATGCAAACCTATATTATAAATCACCATAGTATATGAATCAACCACCTTAAAGTCTCTGAAATATGTATTCTTTGAATCCGATTTCAATTTCATGTTGGAGTAAATTCATTAATTTTTTTTGTTCATCTTCTAATTAGAAATATGAATGGTTATGTTTGCCCTTTACAAAAAGAAAAAAACCATGCAAACCTATATTATTATATATTTATAAAAATAAATATTTGTACTAATGTGAAGTACATTGCATAAATTTTATTACCACTAAGTCTTTATTATCTAAATATATGTAACTACCACTAATTATATTCATTATAGTTTTTACTCCCACCTCGCATCCTCATACATGATCTCAAATGGATTAATAACATATTCATGACAACTCTTTGTGTTCCCCAATCCTATCCTATAAATAGTGACATTTGACACAATATTATACACACTTAAAACAGTTGAATGAGAAATCTCTATATATGCTCTCTTTTCTTGTCTTTTTTTAATTTGTTTTGTTTAATGTTTATGTTTTTTGTTTTTTGTTATTATAAACTTTCTATTGTTTTGTTGGTATTGTTATTGAAAATTTACATTAGTTTCTTGCTTTGTATACATTAGCCTAGCATGTGGTATTTTAGTATCCTCATTTGAATATTGTATTTGTACAAGAGTTAGTTATTTTTACTTTATGCACCTTTAGTCAATTTTATAATTAAGAAGATATTCTTTTTATTGGGAAGATATATGTACTTTTTATAATAAAAATAATGAATTTTTTTAGTAAATACCAATAGATTTGGATGGGAGAAATTATGTTATTTGCCATACAAAATTTACATGAAATATTTTGGATAAACGTGCAAAACACATTTCCAAAACTAGTTCTAATAAAAGTAATAAAAATAAATTGTACATTTCACGTTGATTTGTATTTTTTCATCCTCCGACACACTTTATTTCACTCCATCCCCAATAGTCGTCATCTTTACCTCCTATTGTAATACATACAAATGTTTTAAGATAATATTTTTTGCTTACCTATCCAACATAAGAAAATAAATTTGAAAAACTGACTAATTTCCTATAAAATATTGTTTTATGAAAAACATTTTTCTTCATATTGAACACACCCTCTAATCATAATTTTTCTTAAAAATATTTTGA